GCGAGATGCCGAGACAGCCCCTTCGGCGTCGAGACCCTGAGAGGCCGCGCGCCCCGAGCCCCCCTCCCTGGCGGGGTCGCGGACCAGGCCGAAGCGCTGCGTGCCGGGGGCCACGTGCGCGCTCCCGCGCAGGCGCGCCTGCCACCCGCCAAGGTGACCCTGTCCTTGTCTCCTTGCTGTCCCGGTCAGTTGCCGGTATCAGACCGAGGAAGCCAAAAGGAAGATTCACTTTTCTTTCATTTTTCCTGTTACTTTTTGAGCGCTGCCCACGTGCCGGGCACAGCCCCACGTGCTTCCCAGCGTTAATTTATTGAGCTCTTCGTCAGGTTGGTTGCCTGTTGAAATGTGTTGTCCCCTTTCTCATCTAGGGGACGAGATCAAACCTACCTGGATTCTTGTGAACCATCCATGTAATGATTTGGGGCTGGAATATCACGCAGACCCGGGGGATGTCTCCAAGTTCAAGATAAGTAATGATCCTCGGTGGTCTGGCGAATGAAAACCTGGAAGAAGTTGGTGGAGCGATTTCACCTTTCAAGAACTGATAGCCGTTCAGAATCAGATCTGTGGCACGCCTCCCCGGTCCACGGAAAGACCGAGATGATCACTTCGTTTTCTTTTATGGTTATTTTTGTGCTTTTTCAGCATTCCTCCTGGTTTGTAGGTCAGAAAGCTAAAACAGTATCTCTGTATTTTCCTTATTGCCGTATATAGAGAGTTTCAAATATGTACTGGAATTTATATTTCCTCTGGTCAGTTGCAAGAACTGCTTTTCTTCTTTAGCCCCTAGCATTTTTATCCTCTTGGCTACTGTCCTAAGTTGGGGCATGGGGTAAAGGTGAAGGCCTGTTGAGTCTATGGTATTTCATTTCCATTGACTAAGCAAGAACTGTAGGATTAAATTCAGAAAACACACACACACGGAAGTGGTAAAATGTTGCATGAAAAATTACATGAATTTTGCAAGTAGAGTTTGTGATTTCACCAATCATACCCTGACGTTTTTGGCTGCTTAAAACCAATATCCTCCGTTCCATGACTCAGCAGCTAAATCAACAGCCAGCATCTCCTACCCCTCGTAGAAACTCTAGAAATCAGGCACTTAGAGCTCTTGTTTCCGAGTAATTCTAAGGCGTGGCCCTGAAAGGACTCCAAACAATCTTTTATTTTACATTAAAATGGTTAGAGAGATAAAGATAGAACAGTGTGGCTCTTATAACTGCTCTCTGGCCAGAACCAGTAAATCTAGCAGGAAATCAGAGGCAGAACACAATCCCAGACTGCTGCTGTTGCAAGATTCTTAGAGGCCGTAGCTCTGCATTCTGAGCCAGCACTTCGACCTCACGTTGTAGCTAACATGTTAATGATTAGTAGAGATGCCCTGAAATCCTTCCCAAAATCCACAGGCTGCCAGATACCCTCCCCGTCTCCATAGTTGCTGAAGCTTTGCTAGCAGGCTGTGGGGTTCACATTTGCTAACTGGGCAGTCAGCACAGGGGCCTTTGCCTTGTTGCAGGCCCTTAGTTCTTGTTTCTCATTTGCAGTGTGCTTGTTGAGTGATTTTGCTGCACTGGTCTAGGAGGGTGGAGTGCAGGGGTTGGGGGGAAGGAAGGAGGGGAAATGAATGTCCAAAGCTATCAGAATACCACACTGTGAAGCACTGTAGGTGGCATGTGCAGCATATCTGCAAGTGACCAGGACTGAGGCAAGCTAAATCTGCAGTTATTATGACCCACCTGGATTACTGAGCCTATCTGTGATATGTATGTGAAAACCACTGGTCAGCTTAAGATAGTGACGTGTTTTTTTTTGTCAGTGTCTCACTCTGCTACCTAGGCTGGAGTGCAGTGGCACACTCATGGCTACTGCAACCTCAACCTGCTGGGCTCAGGTGATCCTTCTGCCTCAGCCTTCCAAGTAGCTGGAACTACAGGTGCATGCCACCATGCCTGGCTAATTTTTTGATTTATTGTAGAGACGAGGTCTTGCCGAGTTGGCCAGGTTGGTCTTGAACTCCTGGGCTCAGGCAATCCTCTTGCCGTGGCCTCCCAAAATGCTGGGATTACAAACATGAGATACCACCCCAGCAGAAAGTGACATTCTTGTTTAGGAAAGAGATCTTCAGTCAGATGAAGGTAGTAGGATTGGCGGCCCTAGGGAGGAAGGATATCAGATGAGTGCAGAAGGCCCTGGGGGGATCTAGGTGGATGGTCCCTCTCTAGAGCCGATGGGGGTTTTGGTATTTTTTTTTATCAATATTTTTTACTATTATAGTGTGGGGTACAGTTAAGGGTTAGGTATACAAATACGTTTCGTTCAGGCACTCTGTTGATGAGAGGTGTTTCCCCGCCCCCAGACAGATGTTTGCTACCGTCAATCCCATCTCCCTCCCCCCCACCATAGTTTCCCACTACTGTCAGTCATTATCAGTAAGTATTTCACGTACATCAGAGACTACACAAAGCATATGTAAATGCCTGTGTATTCATACCTAGCTTAAGAAGTGAACTTATTAAGTTTCCATGTGTTTCTGATCCCAGAGTAGCCACTACTAAATTTTGTGTTTATTATTTTCTTGGTTTTTAAATTTATTTTTAAATACTCTTTTGAACTGTACAAACGGCACCCTGCTGTTGGTGGCCTTTGACTACAGTTGTTTTGCTCTACTTGATGTTTGGGAGATCCAGTCCTGTAGCTGTACGTGCCTCGTTTTCAACCCTGTTTTCAGTACTATGTGAATATCACACATTGTTCTGATGATGCTCATTTGGACTGCTTGTTTTTTTCTTTTTCCCCTCTTACTAATACCAGCATTCCTTCTGTGAACTTTGTTGTAAATGTCTCCTGTGCATAGGAGCAAGAGTTTCTCTGGGGCATATACCCAGGACGTACACTTGGACGTGAAATTTCCTAGTCATGAGGACATGCAGCTTCAACCTTGTTTTCCAAAGTATTTCTAACTCTGTGCACTTCCACGTGCAGTGTATATGAGTTCTGACACTGTTTAGGGGGAAAAAATCAAGTTCAACTCTTTTTTTTTTTTTATTTGAGTAGGAGTCTCACCCTGTCACCCAGGCTGGAGTGCAGTGGCACACTCATGGCCACCGCAGCCTTGACTTGCTGGGCTCAGGCGAT